ACAACAACAACAACAACATCAACAACAACACCAACAACAACAACAACAACAACAATAAGGCAAAACAACCGGCTGGTGGACCCGGTGAGGGTCAACCAGCTCGCTGTTTCGCTCCTTGTGGCGAAACATCTCACTGGTGGACCCGGACCCCCCCCCGGCAACGCAACGCAACGCAACAAATGGTTGGCATCAGAAACCAAAGGAAGCCGTTGGAAAATCCCCTGGAATCCTTCGAAATCCATGAGAAAGCCGACGCATGCCCACGAGCTGAAACTATGCGCGCTCCCCCGAGCCGAAACCTTCGGGCATGCTATAGAATCCTTATGGGATGCTATGGAATCCCTAAGGGAAGGCGTCAGAACCCCTAAATGATGTTATAGAACCCCTAAGGGATGCTATAGAGCCCCTAAAGGATGCTATATAATCCCTAAGGGATGCTATATAATCCCTAAGGGCTGCTACAGGATCCCCAAGGGATGCTATATAATCCCTAAGGAATGCCATAAAATTCTTGAGGGATGCTATATAATCATTAGAAAGGGATGCTATATAATCCCTAAAGGATGCTATAGAATCCTTAAGGGGATGCAACAGAATCCTTGAAAGGATGCCATTGAATCCCTAAGGGATGCTAAAGAATCCCTACGGGATGCTATAGAATCCCTGAGGGATGCTATAGAATCCCTGAGGGATGCTATAGAATCCATAAGGGCTGCCACTGGAACCCGAAGGGATGCTATAGAATCCCTAAGGGATGCGATAGAATCCCTAAAGGATGCGATCGAATCCCTAAGGGATGCTACAAAATCCCCATGGGTCCCGGCGTGTTGCCCGGCGTCCCTCAGTGGCCTGCCCCATACGGGGGGAGGCGCATGCCCAAAGGGCTTGAACCACACAAGAAGAGAGGGAGAGGAGCGTGCCCACGTCAGCCACAAGGCCACCAGAGCCACGGGAGTCAAATCCGCCGCCGTGCCTCCTGCACGGCAGAGGCGTGTTAGAGGCTGGGCCGGCACGGGAACGAAAAGAGCTCCCTGTGGGGCCAGGGCCACGATCCTCGAGAGGGGTGTGCCGACATGAAGCTTCGGTGGGCCTCCCTGTGGGGTCTGTGCCACGGTCCTCGAGAGGGGTGTGCCGAAATGATGCTTCGGTGGAGCTCCCTGTGGGGTCTGTGCCACGATCCTCGAGAGGGGTGTGCCGAATTGATGTTTCGGTGGAGCTCCCTGTGGGGCCAGGGCCACGGTCCTCGAAAAGGGTGTGCCGAAATGAAGATTCGGTGGAGCTCCCTGTGCGGCCAGGGCCGCGATCCTCGAGAGGGGTGTGCCGAAATGAGGCTTCGGTGAAGCTCCCTCTGGGGCCAGGGCCACGATCATGCTTGAGGGGTGTGCCGACATGAAGCTTCGGTGAAACCCTCTGTGAGGGGAGGGCCGCGATCCTCGAGAAGGGTGTGCCGAAATGAAGTTTCGGAGGAGCTCCCTCTGAGGCCAGGGCCACGATCCTCGAGAGGGGTGTGCCGCCGAAATGAAGCTTCGGAGGAGCTCCCTGTGAGGCCGGAGGCCCTATGGGATTCCTATAAGATTCCCCAAAATGACTCCCATAGGATTCGTAAAAGCCCTAGGCTTCCCGCAGGATTCCTATAGGATTCGAAAAGTCCATATAATTCCTATAGGACTCCTATAGGTTTCCTATAAGATTCGAAGAGGCCCTATAGGATTCCCATTGGATTCCCACATGACTCCTATAGGATTCGTAGAGGCTCTCTAGGATTCCTATAAGATTCCTAAGGGATTCCTGGAGGATTCGTGGAGGCCCTATAGGATACATATACAAACAATATAAGATTCAGGCTTCGTGGAGGCCCTATGGGATTCCGATGGGAGTCCTATGGGATATGTAAAGGCCCTCCGGGATTCCTATCATATTCCTATAGGAGTCCTATAGGATTCGCAAAAGCCCTATAGGAATCCTATGAGACTCCTATAGGAATCCGATCATATTCGCAGGAGGCTCTATAGGATTCCGATAGGTTTGCTATATGATTCCTATAGGATTCGTAAAGGCCCTATAGGATTATTATGGGATTCCTATAGTTTTCGTAGAGACCCTAAAAGGGTTCCTATGGGATTCCTCTAGGAATCCGAGAAGCCGTATAGATTTCCGACAGGCTTCCTATCGGATTCCTATCGGATTCGTAAAGGCCCTACAGGATACCCATTGGATTCCTATGGGATTCCCTTAGGAATCAGGCCCTATGGGATTCCTATCGGATTCCAACTGGATTCCTATAGGATCCGTAAGAGGCCCTCTAGGATTCCCATATGAATATGATAGGATCCCCCTAGGATTCGTAGAAGCCCTAAAGGACTCCTACAGGCTTCGTAGAGGCCCTATCGGATTCCCGAAGGATTCCTATGGGATCCCCATCGAAATCCGAAAAGCCCTATAGGATTCCCATGGGATTCCGATGGGATTCCAATAGGAATCCTAAAGGCCCTCTAGGTGTCCTACAAGCTTCCTATCGGATTCCAATCGGATTCATAAAGGCCCTATAGGATTCCCAGTGGATTCCTATGGGATTCCCATAGGACTCGTAAAGGCCCAATATGATTCCTATAAGATTCCCATGGGGGTCCCATTGGATTCGTGAAAAGGTCCTATAGGATTCCTGTGGGACTTCCTTCGGATTCCTATGAGGTTCGCAGAGACCCTATAGGATTCCCATTGGAATCCTATAGGATTCGGGGTAACGTGCGTTGCGTTGCGCTGCGTTGCGTTGCGTTGCGGGGGGGGGGGGCCGGCGCCAGTGAGTGGTTTCGACAACAACAACAAGAACAATAATAAGAACAAGAACAAGAACAAGAACAAGAACAAGAACAAGAACAATAACAATAACAACAACAACAACAACAACAACAACAACAACACCAACACCAACAACAACAACAACAACAACAACAACAACAACAACAACGAGAATCCGCACCGCGGAATTCCACTTCAGCCACGCACCCAGGGACATTGAATGACCGTTCGGCCCCCTCACTCTGATCTCGGGATAGGGGCTGAGCGAGGAGTCTAATGGCAGCACGTAGGAGAGCTCGCTAGGAAACTCACGAAAGACGGTGAGGCAGGTATGGCAGCTATGGTCAGAACCACTGCGCCCGGAGGCATGTGGACAGAATCGCGCAAATTCGAGTGTGGCATTGTTCCCGATAGCGTTTTGCCAGCGATGTTTCCGTTCGGACAAGAGCCCAAAACACAGAGTTTGGGAATGCATATGTAACGCCAGTAGTGACAGCGCCCGGGTGACTGACACTGAGCATCTGCGGCATGAGGCCCTTGCCGAATTCGATGTTGCACCAATTCTCGAGGGAAGAGGGCTCATTCCTAGTGATTGGTTGGGTCTTCCTCCCCCTTCTTCCTCTCGCCTCTTGAAATACCACGGGTGCGAGCCCTCGACCCCATTCCCCCGTGGAACCTATGGCTCTGATGGTGCAGGCGGACAGTGGTCGCAGCACCCGCTTCTCCGCAGCCTGGAGGTCGATGAGGACGGAGTGCCTTCCTGGAGCCATGTAGCCACGGGTGTCTGTGACAGCTCCCGCCAGAGTACTCCCAGAGAAGAGCTCACTGCTCTGGTGGAGATTGTACGCCATGTCAGGTGGTCTGAATCGCCCGCGATTGTTTATGACTTTATAAATTATGTCAAGGCCTTTAACGAAGGCCTTCACCTTGCCAATGCTGACCTGTGGTGGGAGTTGTGGGTATTGGCCATTACGAGGTCTGCCCCCCTTGAGCTAGTGCATGTGCCGTCACATTAGTCGAGAAGTCGGACAAGTTGGAGCGGTTTGGGAGAACTACTGACCCATGTCATGTCTATGTCAATCGCGTGGCGGACGAGCTCGCCGCCAGTAAAGCAGATGCGCATCAGGTTCCCGCGCACCAGTGCCAAGCTTTGCTGGGTCTTGAGCTGAAGGCCAAACAGGTCTTGCTCCGGATTGCCACTTTCACCTTGGAGGTAGCGAGTAAGCCTAAGAAGAAGGAGCGGGTGGTCGTGCAAGAGAAGGTTCCGAGGCTGCTCGCCCTCCGACATAAGGGAGTAGCCTTTGTGAGCAGATCGCATCAAGTTTGAACTGCACACGCCTGGTCTTTGGCGCTGCTCTGAATAAGGACTCCATGCCAAGGAAAAGACTCGGGGGGTTCGGAACCGTGTCCTTTCGGCCTGCGCGGCCCTGGCTCCGCGGGTCCCTGTTCCGCTTCCCCGTTTGGGGTCTGCGTCAGGGTCTCTGGCCCCGATTGACGGTGTTCTTTGGAGCAGGCTTGGCATGGAAGATCCGCCAGGGCAGCAGTTGTCTTCTTCATATGAACTGTGGTATAAAGGCACATCTACATTTTGTGGCTTGTGTGGTGCGTGGTCCAAGCAGCGACCGGTCAACCTGTTAGCCGGTTGCGTTGTGGCCGTGGACGGGCCGCACCGTACTTCCCCTAAACAGCTGCAGGCTTGCCCTCGTGTGTGGGATTCTGGGCAGGAGCCCGTCGTTCAGCTTTAGCGCGCTGAGGCCGCACCACTTGCTTCCCCTCCCATCGGGGTCTCTGGGAGCAGGCAGGGCCACCTGCCCAGAGGACTCTGTGTTGGTTCCCACCCCCAGGGTGCTCCAACCTCCTCTGGCCTTTTAATTTTCTGTGCTGATTTTCGTTGCTGTCAGCGCACTCTTCAATTTCGGTGCTTGGCACCCTTCACGCTGCAGCCCGCCACGCATTCACCTGCAGGGCCTTCTGTACCAGCATACAGTAAAATATCCTCCTCCTCCTCCTCCTCCTCCTCCTCGTCCTCGTCCTCCTCCTCCTCCTCCTCCTCCTCCTCCTATCCTCCTCTTCCTCCTCTTCCTCCGTCTCCTCCTCCTCCTTCTCCTCCTCCTCCCCCTCCTCCTCCTCCTCCTCCTCCTCCTCCTCCTCCTCCTCCTCCCTCTCAACTTCTCCTCCTGCGCCTCCTGCGAGGGGCTAGCCTCCCGAAGCCGCGGCACCGGCCGCGGCGTTGGCTTCAGCCGGGCCGCCGTGGCTTCTGCACGACGCACCGCGGCCGGCGGGTGCCGTCGCCCTGCGGCCGCTCGCTGCCAGCGGCAGCAGCTGCGGCAGCAACAGGAGGAGGAGGAGGACGAGGAGGAGGAGGAGGACAAGAAGAAAAGGGAGGAGGAGGGGGAGGAGGAAGAGGAGGAAGAGGAGGAAAAGGAGGACGAGGAGGGGAGGATGAGAAGGACGAGGAGAAGGAGGAGGACTAGGACGAGGAGGAGGAGGAGGAGGAGGAGGAGGACAAATGCGCCACAATTTTCTTGCTCAGGTTGGTCCAAGGTGAGGGGAAGGAGGAGGAGGGGGAGGGGGAGGAGGAGGAGGAGGAGGAGGAGGAGGAGGACGAGGAGGAGGAGGAGGAGGACGAGGAGGAGGAGGGGGAGGAGCAGGAGCAAGAGGAGAAGGAAGAGGAGGAGGAGGAGGAGCAGGAGGAGAAGGAGGAGGCTCGCTCGTTCTCTCTCTCTCTCTCTCTCTCTCTCTCTCTATTTGCATATGGCCAATCCTCTCCACATCCACAACATAATGGCCGCAGGGCGGTCAAAGACACTATGTGCCCCACCGATGTCAAACATGCGGGAGCCCTGGCCCCTGCAATCAGCATGGGGACTCCGTTCCGGGATTGCAGCACTAGGTCGAGAGACCTGTAGCTTCGACGTCTTCTCGGGACGCAGAGAGAACGAGAGGAACACAACGGCAGCCAGGACGGCGGCAGCAACAAGCGGGAGAGGGGGGGAGAAGGCCAGCCAGGCCAGTTCAAATGCGCAGCAAAAAGGAATCAGTAATCTGCACTGACACGGAGAGAGACGCAGAGAAGAAAATGGACACAGCGGCGGCCAGGGTGGGCAGCAGCAGAGAACGAAAGTGGAGAGAAATCTGAACTCTGAACACTCCCTCACCGCGGAAGTAGGTAAGGTGCTGACCTCACACAACACAAAACTCAACAACCGAACTCCCGCCCAACATTCGGAACCCTTGATCGCAACTACTGACCAGCGGCTTTTCCAGAGTTCTTCCCACGACCTTTGTTTCGACCTCGGCCTTTGGGGCGCACCAAAGGGTCCCACCCCCTGTTAAACTGCACCCGCCCGCGCTGCGAGATCGATCCAAGGACAGACGGAAACCCAGGAGGAGGAGGCGGAGGCATCAAGGAGGACGCAAAGGAGAGGGGCCTGAGCTCTACGGAGCCTTTTTGTGGCGCCACCCCGCGGAACATCTTCTCCAAAGAGTTCTGGACTCTACGTTCCTGGGTGCTTCTCGGGGGGGCCCGATCTTCGGTGCGCTCCCGAGGGTCAAACCAAGGGTCGTGATTATCGGATTCGTCGGCATCATCAGACCTGATCCAGCAACTCACTGAACCCACGAGTTGACGAAATACGTGTGGCGAACGAGAGATGGGGAGCCCTCCTGCACGTAGGCCGTCTTCGCCTTCCAGTAGCGCAGGGTCTCGCATGCGATGGCCATCGGCTGTTTCTTCATCTCCTCTTCTAGCGAGGCGACGGCCTTCAGGTGGCCCCGCAGCGCCGGGTTGGCGCTGGGTTGGTCTTGAGAGTGGCCTGATCCAGAAGCGTCTGCAGCACTGCGAAGGCAACGTGCAAACTGGGTGGTCCGTGGCCGTGTTCCGAAAGATTATCATTGGTCGTGCCGCTGTACTTCTGGGCGGCCCCGATCGCCGCGTAGTTCACCTGGTGCTCTTTCTGGATCAAGCGTGCGCCGTGCAAACATTCCTCGGGGGCTCGCTGCCGCTGTGCTGGGTTGATACATCCTTTCAGTACCTCCGACGCGGTATCGTCCTCCAAAGGGTCGCTGTCGTCCACTGGCGCTGCGGCTGCGGCGGCGGCGCTCGCGGGCTCTCGCTGGCGTCGCGGCTCCTTCGCGCGCCGCGCGCGCGGCCTGCCGCTGCCTCCGGCGGCCAAGGTCGTCGTAGAGCTTACTGCCAGGCGCTTCCTCGCCTCGTGCACATCCGCCGCCTCCAGTGGCATCGCCCGCGCCGCCAGCAGGAACGGCGAACGAGAAGGTTGCGTCAGACAGGTCAATACGCGTACGAATATGCCGCTGGAGAGCCACAGCCGATGGGCGATCGACACTACAGGCAGGGCATTCAAAGGTTGGTGACATAGTCGGCTTATGGTGGATCGGACTTCGGTCGCACTGGCAACTACGCTTCAAAAACAATCGTCGAACATGCTGGCGGGAAATCGCAACGGTCGGGTGTGAACTCGCGACCTCGTGCGCCAGGGGCACTGGTTGGTGACGGTGAGAAGCTGCGAAAGAGCCCGATGACCGTGACTGCCCTCGGTACAGAAGCGCACCCTAGTATACCGCCCCTGCTGATGATTGAACTCCAACCCACACTCAGTACCGCCGTTTTTTGTTACAGCACATCGCCAGACTCGAAGAGGGGGTTCGGGCGCGGGCCCTTGGGGTCCTGCTGCTGTTCCTCCACCTGGAACTCGTCCAGCCCCCTCCACCGCCTCCTCCCAGTCTCATCGATTTGCCCCTCCCTATACATGTTGCGGAGCTTGGGGGAATAGCTGGCTAAACTGTTGACGAAACGCTTCTTGGAAAACGCGCTGATGTACATGTCCCATCGCAAATGTTAACGCTGACCCTCCCTCAACGTAAGCCAGAAGCTTCGCGTCATTTAGTGCCTGTAGGGCCCAACAGCCCCCGCGAACTTGCCCTTTCTCATCTCGGTTGAGCAGTCCGTTCTCGCCAGTCGGGTGCCCCTCTCCATGCGCCTGGCCGAAGAGCGCCGCCAAGGGTTGTCTCTCGCGGTGTGTGGCCTGGCCGAAGAGCGCCGCCAAGAGTTGTCTGCCGCCAAAAGAAGCCACTGAAGACGTCGAATTCGCAGTCCGAGCTGGGTGGGAACCACGTGCAACATCATCCAAATACGAGAGCTTGCATGCGCTGAATGCTTCAGAATACCGCCAGCCCGCGGGGCCCTGCGAACAGCTGCACCTTTGAGCAGAACTCGGCCCCACTGAAGCAAGGCCGTCAATGAGCTCAAAGTCGCTCGCGGACAAAACGAACGCCTCTAGACCGCTGAGACCTGCCGCTGCACGCGTGCTTGAAATTCAAGAATACGAATACGCAGTGGTGCATGTGCAACATGCCAGAACATTCCCATCGCATACCATGCGCTGCGCATACGTGTTTGCATGGCGTGGCGCTGCTGTGCTGTAGCACCCGCTCCATGATACCTCGCGCCTAAGTACTTTGCGCGTGCGCACGCATTCCCAGGCAACTGGCGCGCAGGGCCTGCATACTATTTAGGTTCACCGAAGGCTCCTGGACCAACAAAACGCGGAACTGCGACCTGCCTGTCGCGACTCAGACCCCCCCCCCGGCACGCCGCGCGCGCAAGGAGGGCGGCCAGGCTGGCAGTCGCAGACCAGGCCTCGACTGCCATAGCTGACGCAGTACGGGCGATGATCTCATGTGCCGCGCTGCCCATCGAAACCGCGGTGGAAAGGTGAATCATGCTTCGTTGATATCTTCCACCGGGCTGGAGCACATAAGGTCACGGCCACGAGGCTGGGCTCGTCGCTCTTCAAGCCGCGGCATGATTGCACAACGGTCAAAAGTACACACACACACATTGAACTGGCGCTGGCTGATGCCAGAACCCCTTCCTGAACCTGAAAGTGCCCCACCCCTCTGAAAAATCTAACGTGATGATGATTACTGTGATGGTCAGACTAAACACCGTCGGGATGCATGTGCAGATGATCTGCGTCATCGAGCAAGCTAGCATAAATGCTGCCAAACGCGTTGGCCTGGTGGTAAAACGGCGCGCAATGCGACTTCTGCAGACGGGAGAGGCGCCAGCCTGCAATGAGCCGTGCTTTGATAGCGGCCCCACGCCTGCGGCGCGACACTCCACCATGAAGGTGATCCGCAAACACTCGCTCCGGGTAGCATGCGTTGTCTCTAATGCCCGGGTACTTACTGCACGCCTCACAGGGCGCAGACGATGAACGAGCCGAACCGATCGAAGTCCAGGAGCGGTAGCGGTGGGTTTTGGCATCCCCAGGACCTGTGCCAATCAAGCGGTAGCCGAACCCCTTCCACGAACGCCCCAAAGAAAACCTCGAACACGACAAGAAAACTTGCCCATACTAGATATAGTGTCACTAAGTGTAGCTCGTTCGCCTTTATGCTTCGGATGTCTGTGAGGAGGTAGTAACCGCATGGGATACAAATCCATTGGTAGACTCCATGGTGGTGCACTGCTTCTGTATGCCATCGTGCGCAAAGATGTGCAGATGCCATGCAAATCGCGATCAGCTTCGTCCATGAATCCTGGCCCGTAGAAACGACGCCCCAATCCCGTATCGAAGCGAACACCTGGCAGAGAAGGTGGGTCAACTGGTCTGGCCGATTGACCGCCCAGGGGCCCTCGCTGAGCAATGACATCGGTCCACATCTGTACTGTAGAGCGCATGCTGAGCGGCTGGTTGAAGAGCAAAACAATAAATAAAAAAACAACAGAAAAACGTCGGCCTGGTCCGACAGTCGCGCAGGCAAGTCGGCGACAAAGACGGTGCAAAAAGAAACCAGCGTGACTCTTTCCAGGCGTCCCGAATTTGCTCTGCAAGCGACTCCACATTCCGTTCTCGATCTGTATCACGCGCCTGCTTGATCTGCTCCGCGATCGCAAACAACTCTATTTGAACCTGGGTGAGCTCCTGGAAGTGCGGGTGGTCAGCGATGATGACAGCAGGAAGAACAGCAAGTTTTTCTCGAAGTTAGAATCGTTCGCGAAATAATGCTCGTTGTGCTTCCCGAGGGCGAACAGGTTCTTCATGTCCCTGGTCAGCCGTAGAATAGTACCCAAGAGCAATGACTCGAGCATCTTTGACTAACTGCTCCCATGCTCGATCTGGGATCGCTTTTCCCTCTAAAGAACGCGATGCGGGGCAGGTGCGAAAGCGCATATCTTCAACTTCGCGAAGGAAGCGAGCTCGCCAAACGCCGTCCACCCCCGCCGTCCACCCCCCCCCGAGTCGATCAACATCCCAAGATTCAGCC